TATATAATATTATATATATATAATATATAGAACCATTCATATGCCATTAATATCCCCAAATCCCATTTTCAGATAAACATGTCCTCAACATCCGTGAGGGTCCAGTGGCACGTGCAACGCCGCCCTTTCGTCAGGTTTGCCCTTTCGTGCTGTTGGCGTCATCGGAACGATGATAAACCAAGTCCCGACAGTGCAAAAAATGGACAGGTGCCAAAAAACAGGGCAGAAGTCTCAGACATAGGTGGTTTTATGGGGAAAAACATATGGAAAAAGCAACCATAAATGGTGGGTTAATGATTTTCAGAGTGATTCATAGAGGTCTAAAATGGATCGCTTTTAGCCTTGGGTGAAATCCAAAGGGAAAGTCATCAAGAAATGGTGGGACTTTCCAGCAAGGTTTGATTACCGGGTACTGACTGTGATTGTATCTAGTGAACCCACACACACACAGACACATACGCACACATGCTGTCAGCTTCTTCTTTTGGACCCAAGCATCACTCGAAGAACTGTGAAGATAGCCCAGCCATCAACCATCAGTTGGACGTTAGAAGCTCTAACTACATAATCTTCAAAGAGGCAGTCCTTGACGATCCTCCTGAGATCTCCGATTTCATGAAAAATCCCAATCAGCCCACGGATCGTCAAGTCGTGTCAGTGATGGGGTAGTTGTACCTGTTCGAAAACCCCCATTCTTGTTGGTTAAATTATCTGAAATCTCCGTATTTGTTTGTTTTGGTGGGTCAGAATCATCTTAAATCTCCGTTTCTTGGGTGGGTAAAGATATGTTAAAACCCCATCTGTCTAGCTGGATACCCCCACTTGTCAGAGTGCAAACTGAGAGCCCGCCCCCAGGATGGCCCTGGCAGAGTGACTAGAACCTCGCCTGGCAGAGAGCTACTGCTTTTAACCCGTGCTGAGTGCTGAGATGAGATGCAAAAATGCGGCAGAAATGGCTTGGAGGGAATCTGTCTGTGTATGTATCTATACACACACATATATATATATGTATGTACAGTAGATATATATATATATATACACTCTCTCTCTCTCTCTCTCTTACATATGTATTTACATGTATACAAACACGCACAGCCCCGAAACATGGGATGCGAGCCATGAAACCTAAAACGGGGAGATCAGAACCACAGATACCACAGCGGGTGAGGGCCTCCAAGCTTGGGAATCCATTGCAAGCTTGGAATGTTGCTGGTTTACTGGGAATATCTACTGGAATTCCATGAATCTAGCATCCACATACGCTTGGGTTTTCCTAGTTTTCGAAATCTTTTGAAGCAATTCTGGTAGAACACATTTTTCATGACAGTTCCACCATTCCCGGATTCCTACCTTGCTTGTCCCGTTGACAGATGGCTGGCTGCAGCCATGGTGTGCTTCTCACAAATACAGTCACAAAGAAAGGACACCACCTGATCGTGTCCTCATAATGGAGGGTTTAAACTGTTTAATCGACTGAAAAAGGTGGGTTTAACCAACAGAAGAGTTGCAACTCAAAGCATTTCTATGTATTGTTTCCCTTCAAGAGGATTTGCTTTAGGACACTTCAGAACCATGGAGGAAGTCTTGCGGGTTCAGCGCACAGAGGCACCAAATGGGTGATTGCTACGGAAATGCGTTGTGCATTGCCCATTCTTCTTGGTTGATCCAAAAAAACTGGGGCAATCTTAGCTGGAATCCCCATCAACCAGTGTTTTTTTATATGTGTATATAGATATATACACATGTCATGTGTACATATATGTATATATAATACACATATATACATATATATATATATACACACACGCACGCACCAGCACATTTGTTCTGAGCTATTCCCTTTTCAACGTATTTTTTCTGATGAATATCCCCTTTGTTGAAATCATTGTCGCTGAACATCCCCGTTGCCGCTGAATAGCTCCATTTATGTCCATCATTTCCCCATTTTTGCTGGAGAAATCCGTGGAACATCTCAATACTTCTTGTTCACTTCTGGCTTTTTCTCTGAACAAATGGGTATGGATCAATACCTATACATACCATTTTTAGGGGGATGAACATCCATAAATCCCAGCTATTTTGATGTGAACAGAAGGGGTACAAGGTTTTGACACACTGCCAAATAACCCAAGATCCACTGGTCAGTCATCATTTACGGCGTTTACGGCATCTGAGATTTCTGGTTGGCAGGATGGCCGCGGGCAAAGTACCGTGGCACTCAAAGACTTCGATGCTGGGGAGGTACCAAGAACGGGATGGGGATTCTCCCAACCAAAAGTGGAATTTTGAGCAACAGGCCAGTAGGATTTATGCCATTTATGCAACCCATTCTATTTTTTGGACGGGATCATCACCAACATAAAACCTGGAAGAGATAGAACTTTGTGTTGAAAGGTGCTTGGGATCAAGGACAATTGTTGTCAAAACTTAGGCCTCCGGAGAAAACCACGGCTGTCATGGGGCTGTCAGCCAGCTCCCGAGAATGGTTTTGAGAACCACAAAATCTGAAACAATCTCCCAATGGATCCCAGAAAATAGGGGGTACCCGCAGTCATCATCCATTTATAGAATGGATTTTCCATGGATTTTCCATGAAATAAACCATCCAGCTATGGGGATTTCCCCATGACTATGGACCCCCCCTGGGTTCGGCCTCCAGGTGCTGCTGCGCGAGGCCTGCCTGGCCGTCACCTTCGAGGCCTCGGAAGCGCCCTGGGCCGCCGAGCTCCGGCGGAAGCTGAAGGCCATGGACGGCTGTTGCGCCTGGCAGCCGGGGATACCCAGATACCCAGGGGATGGGATGGTACTGGATGGGAGGGGAAAATGTTGGGAACATGTTGGGAAGTTTTTTATTTTTTGGCATCTGTGATTTGAGTTATTTGAGAGAGATTCTGAATTTATCTAACGTTAGATAATTATAGAATGTTTGCCCCAGATGGGTTTAATGTTGGGACATTTGGGAGATTTGGGACACTCTTCGCGCGAGGGAACTGGAACTGAAAAAAAAAAAGCAAACCCTCCCAGTGGGCTTTGCGGTGAATGACGTTCCTCTTGAATCCAGGATCCAGTTGGATTTCACACAAAAAAACTGCTTCTTGGCTCGTCCCCACACCAGTATTGATAATTGATCAATTACAGTATTGGAATTAGTATATATATATATAATATATATATACATACATATGAGCTATAGATTTCAAGATATTTTCTGTACTCAGAATACCAAGTTTTTTCGTCGATCTTTTTGGTGCGGAGTTTTCCTCCAGATGCCTGGCCATGGCAGGTATTGTTTGGCCGCGCCGGGCTCAATGGCGGAGCACAGCGATTTTTTCCATGTTTCCAATGGGGATAGAAATTGCATGAAATGGCTATTTTTATTGGGTATAGAACCAATATGAACCAATAATGATCTGAATTGGCGAAACAAAAAAATCTATGTCATGGGCCAAAATGAAGAACTTACGTGGATGGGCCCCATAGACTTTCGCAGATGTTTCAAGGGGTTATTCAAGCGCCAGTGAATGTTTTCGTTGATTGGGGAAAGAGACGATTAAAAATGAGTGCTTTCAGTCCACCCCTTTGCTGAGTGATTTTGCTGGTACATCATGGATATCACTTTCTTTTGCTGGGGGTCTTCCTGTCAGGACCAGTCCCAGAATTGGTGCCTTTGCAGGAAGACCCCGAAGAATTTTGAGGGTCAAAAGCATGGTTTCCAGGTCAATTTTCCCCGTAAGCCAATTTTTCTTGGTTGTTTGTTGGTAATCGGTGGTTGTCCTAATGCATATGATTATAGTTATAGTCCTATTCATGCTATATCCCCTATTTACCATTCATAAACCGATCTATTGAAACCTCAGTATGGTTTCTTTACCCATTGTATCCGGAAGATAATCCCATTATAGTACCCTGATAGAACAGTACAATCTGAATGAAATCTAGTGGTAAATTATACCTATTTGCATTGGATTTACTTTAGATCAACCCATTTTCCAACCATTTACTTAGTATCACCAAATTTTGATATACGGTTGGAAAGGCATCCCCCAAAGATATATAGTGAAAACTCTACTCTAATTTCCCAAGAATTAGTGAAAACTATCACCCCATTTTTCAAACCATTTAAGGATCCATGTCTTTCTTCGATCTGAGGTGCGATGTCTTTCGCATGATGACCCGGTACGTTGGGAGGACTTTGAAGGTGCACTAATGGCCTCCAAGTACTTCGTGTGGCTTGAAAGTCCTGGGATTTTTCGGTGATTTAATGGGAAAATCAACAGGAAATCATGGTATGATCATGGTATGATCATGGTATGATCATGGTATGTTCATGCTTTACTATGGTTTGATGTGTGTTTATGTGTTTATATGTTTTTAACTATTTCGAGTCGTTTATGATACATCTGAATAAGTTTCAGATGCATGACAGTTCCTTCCATCCTTGGAGGCTTGGAACCCTTGAGTGCCGAAGGTGTCTGCCACCTGGAGGATGCGGGGGTTGTCACCAGAAATCCAGGTTTTGACCCTTCAAGAAACCTCCTTTTGCATGGCAAAACTCAAGGAGTTTAGAACGGTTCCTGCAGTCTGCCATAGTAGATCATGGTTATTTTTTTTGCAGAGTCTGCCAGTACTGCAATCTGGTAGGAAAACCGTGATTTTGGCTCAGCATCTGACGTCACCTCAGTGAAAGACACGTAGATGGTATGGTAAATGCCGCAGAAAGCCATGGGCCCTGAAAGCCACAGGGGGCCCCTGAACATCCAAAGGGGATGGTCCACAGCGAATAGTCACGGCTCGTTCACCCACCGGGGATTCACTATGGCTTTCCCAAGACATCAAGCCCCACATCGGCCTTGGATTCCAAAAATGATTCAAAATCCCAACTGAAAAATGGACAAAAACATCCAGCCCCCAACTGACCTGGCCACATTTCGCAAGAAATTGCTTTCAAATTCTGCTAGGAGGCTCAACCAAATACCAACCCACACAGCAGATTCAGAGATCTGGACGCTATGGCGGCTCCACCCCATGGGCCGGGCCTGGTGAGTGGCTGATCTGACCGATTTTTTTGGGTTTTCCTATTGAGATTTGGATGATTTGGCACGGAAAACCTTGGACAACTTGCTGGAAATTGAAGAGTCCAGTCATTTTTTGGGAAAACAAACATATCCCCATGATTCGCATGATTTGCTTTTTTTGGTGTATATAATATGATATATGCACATATTTGTGCACATATTTGTGCACATCAATTACCAAGAAAGGTCTTAGCCTCTGGTAAACGTTTACATTTTACTATGGAAAGATCCACCATTTTTAATGGGACAATCCACTATTTCTATGGCCATGTTCAATAGCTATGTTAGTGAAAATCACCATTTTTAATGGGTAAATCACGGTAAATCCACTATAAATGGCCATTTTCAATAGCTTTTTGTATGTTTACCAGGCCGGGTAGCCCCATGACACCAGGCATTTCCCCATTTCGGTCGCAGCCGAGGCTTTGACCTGTTGCCGGACATCCAACACGTGCAGCCTGAAGACTTGGATGGCGACGTGTACGTGGAAACTTGGTGGCGATGTGGGAAGTTGAATTGGGGATGGGTCAAAACCTGGTACCCCTGGTGAACATCAAAATAGCTGGTAAATGGATGTTCATCCCCCTAAAAATGGTATGTATAGGTATTGATCCATAGCCAATTGTTTTTTTTTTCTGGGTGGACATCCAGCAGGATGGGGGCCCCCCAGTTATAAGTGGGTTTATAAAGCATTATAAGCCCTATGAACTAAATAGTTGTATCTACCATAAAGCCACTTATAAGGCATAGCTATCTTGGGGGCCCCATCCTGAGTGGAATAGGGAATTTTATTAGGATTTAATGGGATTTTAGTAGGAATATGTTCCATCAGGGGATTTTATTAGGATTTAAGGGGATTGAGATGGAATGTAATGGGATTCAACCATCAACCATAGGACTTTCATGACATTTAATGGGATTTCATGGTATAGTAGTTTTTGTCTCTGGTGTCAATCAAACGCGGCTGGAAAATCCCCAAACTCAACGGAGGGTTCAATGGATAATAGCGGAGGGTTTCTGCCCCATTGGGACTTGACATGACTTGACCATCGCCGGAAAGTTTCACTGATTTGGTTTCATTGTTAGGAATGTTTTTTCATCCCTAGGCTTCGAAGTTATTGATCCATAGCCATTTGAGATCATCATTGGACGGTCACCTGGGGTGCGTAGGACCTGTTGCTAGGAACTTCCTGTATGTTGAAGCTCCTTCTAACATCACCAGTGCGTAACCGTCCAAATTGGGACGAAGGATGGAAGAAACCGAATGATGAGGTCGGAAAGTGATGATCAGTGATGCCTAGGCATACTTTCTCAGGAAATTTGGGGATTCACCCGCCATTTTTGCGGTATTACCCTCTGGTAAACTAACATTTTACTATGGAAAGATCCACCATTTTTAATGGGTAAATCCACTATTTCTATGGCCATTTTCAATAGCTTTTTGTATGTTTACCAGAGGGTATTTCAATCGATGGTCGTTTTTGAATGTGGAAATTGGCACCGTTCGCATTGGCACCCTCCGCCTCGGCCTCGTAGGCTTCGGGGATGGGTCAAGTGTCGCTCCAGGTCGCTCATAGCACCAGACTTTGGCGGACATGAACACATCATTTAACCAACTATGATGCTATTACTACAATGATTTTAATGGATTGCCAGCTATTATCACAACAACAACAACAACAACAACAATAATGCCATGCCATGTTTGGTTTTTGGTGTTTTCCAACTATTTCAAGCATAACAATGTTTGTCCCCATGTTTTTTTTCGGATGCTCATCCCCATCTTTGCATCTTTGGCGGGATTTTCCAGGATTGATGGGAAAGGGTAGCTGTTGAATTTCATGAAAAATCCCTAGACAATCCCTGAAAAACTCCTCATGAAATCCTTATGAAATCCCATGAAATCCTTATGAACCTCCATTAAAGTCCACATTTTTTTTAAATGACATCCTATGGCCATTGATAGTTTGAAAATCCTCAAAAAGCAGCCCCAGGACTTTGTCAGCAGCGCACAGCTCAGTCAAGCCTCACAGAAGCCCGTGGCCCCAGGGCCTCAGGGGTGCCGGTGCCGTGCCATGGGTGAATTCATGGTGGGTTCATCAACCCTAATGGGATACGATATGAATTCGTGGAGGTAAAACCAAGCCTAATGGGGGGTATGATTCATGATTATGAATTTATGAACTATGATTATAGTGACAAACAACCGCTTACATCTTGGAACTTAGAACCTCATATCTGGGCACATTTTTTCAAAAGGTCGTCGGCGTGTTCAACCAAGGTGGCGGGCGTGGGACCTGACTTTTCAGTGGTTATTTTATGTTATATTTTCACTCCCAAGTGATTTAGCCTTTTAATGGGAACAATGAATGAACATGAGACTACAGGATGGGGCCCCCAAGATAGCTAAGTTGCCTTATAAGTGGCTTTATGGTAGATATAACTATAGTTAATAGGGGTTATCATGGTTTATAAACCCACTTATAACTGGGGGGGCCCATCCTGTATGCAACTAGTGAATTTCAAGATTTTGAGATACCCCATTTTCAGACATCCCGAGTCCTGGCATTTCGTAATGAATCTTACTGTAGGGTCCATGGATGTCCATGGGAGATGCTGGGGCTTTACTTCTGTGGCTTACAATAAAAAACCACCCCAGTTGCTGGCTGGGGTACAGTATGGTACAGTTGAGACATCAGTTGGGTCAGTCAAATCCGCACTGTGGGCTGCTGATACCAGTGGATTGTTTCAGTATTGTTGGACAACTTCACGAAGACTGTTCGCTAGTTGTAACTGACCTCATTGGTATTGTATCATTTGCATTGTTGGTCAGTATCCCATATGTTGGTGAATTTAGATGCACTTGACTGCTTTCTCAGGGCATTGAACTCATTGGTGTTGGTTTTGCAACAGTTCCAACGTTTGCACGTTCATGGCTGTAATTATATATACACCTTTGTTTGCTGACTTCTCCAGCATTCATGGCTTCATAACAACGCTGCAGTGTTGTGACGTCCGCATGTTTTTTGAGTGCATGCCACAGTGTTGTCTGTAGTCATCGATTTGGTGATTCATGCATTCATGGCCATTCGTTGATGGCAATCGCTATATTTTGCGCCAAAAAAGCATGGCAATCTGTGCTGTCCTCTTGGGGACTCTTGATATCCACATATTTTTGTGTTCAGACTTCAAGCGCAGATAAAGTCATCCTCAATTCGTGGTGCGTGCGAGGCAGGATTTCAAGAGTCCCGCCTCCATGAAGTCAGACTTGAAGTCAATCGATCCTCGACGGAAATCGGATGACTGATCCACCACTCTGACTGATCGGCTGGCGATTATTTACCCACTGGTTATTTAACATAGCCATGGAAAGATCCACCATTTTTAACAGGTAAACCATCTATTTCTATGGGCCATCTATACCATGGCTATACTAGTCATAACCGGAGGGTAACTGTTTTTCGGATCCACGGGAGGCTGAGAAACTGTGATGATTTCTGTGCCACGGACTTCCGGAAAAATCCAAGCTGGAAAAAGGGGGAAGAAACAAATTTACCATTCATATTTTCGTGAGAATGGGGGATTTTCCATGGCTATGTTAGATTGAGGGCAAAAATGGAGGTTAGAAGGTTCCGAAAAGAATGTATAGGCAGAATTGGGACCCTACTATGATGAACCATTCTATTTTATTTTGTCTGGTCGCTGCCCGTATATATAGATGTCCCAAATTCCCGCTGTTTTGGCCGAGGAAAACTCATGGCCAACCTCGCAGGTAAGTGACCTCCCACTTTTCCCCACTGTAGGGCAGTGTCCAAAATTGAAATTGGTACTCTCCGGTAAACTAAGATAGCTATGGAAAATGGCCAGTTAGTTTGATGATTTGCCTACTAAAGATGGTGGGTTTTCCAGTTCTCCAACTGGTATTTTTTGCCAGAGGGTATACTCTCCATTTTGGGGATGTATGGATGTCCCTTTCCCACTGGTTGGTTGATTATGAAATAGTGGGTCATCGACCTGCGGATTCGAACTGGGATTACGAACTCCCCTTCACTGGGGCCAAAAACCCAACGTGCTCCGCACATCTCCGCACTGTGTATGATCAAAATCCCATCAACTGGCGGTTTTTCGTTTTTTTTTTGCAAATTGATAGATAGATGCCAGTTGATGGGATCGATCTATCTATCTGTCTATCTATCTAATCTAATCTAATCTAATCTAATCTAATCAATGGCTTCAAACACTGCAATTTCAGCAGCCCTAGGAGACGGGCAGCATGGCATCCTGGCTGCCTCCCAAGCTGCCGAAGCCCAAGACGCAGGTCTCGGGGGCGTTTCAGCGTCTCGGCGGCTTTTGCACGGGGGGGTTTAACGTGGTTTAACGATCCTGAACTGGGGATATATGGCCAATATATGATCAAATAACCCCAATATATATTTGACCATAATTCATGAATACATCCAAAACTCAAACAATGTTTCCGAGGGATCTTTAATATTTGGGGGACAGGACTGGCCAGAAATGAGAGATGACACAACAAATGGATCCAAAAGATGGACTTTGGAGCGACCAACTTGGCAGTGGAATGGAAGCCTCATCTTCCAGGTATTGTCAGATAGGTCACCACCCCAACTCTCCCTGGTTACCTATATAAAGGGTAGGGAAGGCTAGGGAAACGGTAGGTGGGTGTTTGAAGTTGGAGTTTTGACCCCAATTTGATTGCCATTGTTCATGGGGAATATCATATGACTACGAGATATGAGTAGCATTGCCCCATACCCTCCGGTAATCAAACGTGGCTAGCTGAAAAATCCCGCATTTAGTTCGATGAATGCCTATTCAAACCTCTGATGATCTCCCATTCAAACCTCTTTTTGTAGATGATTATCCAGCCACGTTTGATGACGCCAGAGGCCATATACCATGAA